GGTTCTTCAATTTTACATCGGAAACCACCCCCAAAGTTTGAAATCGAAGCATTATTTCGACTAGTTATGCCGTACACAGACACAGACACAAAAAAAAAAAAACACACAGCATTGTAAAATCATTACATTCATCACTTCGTTCAGAATCTAAAAACAAATCTTGGATATATAATGAAAATATTAATAATAAAAAAGTGTATTGTATATACCTATTGTGTATTATATATTATAGTGTTAACAATTAATTATCTGGTGTTTTTTGTGTTTCTATGTTAACTAGTGGGTTAGAGTTGTAATGCATAAATGATTGCTGAGTATCGACTGAGGGACTTTGTTGAATACTTGGATAATTTGGCACCGGTTAAAAATATTGAGGATATTATTGAAGAGAAAACGACTGTCTGAAAGGAGGTCGAGGTTGTGCCTGATATCTAGTTGATGATTKAAGGGAAGCTGAAGTATCAAAATATGGTTGATTTGGGTGAATTGATAATGTATAATGACGATTTAAATTCCCGAGTTTGGCTTCATAGTACCAAGGAACATAGGTGTAAATAGTGTTTTAAATTTGGGGGGAGGGAGGCTCAAAATTGTTCATGCATAGTCGAATGTGATGTAAAATCATTAGGTTTTTTTAGGGGGGTTATTAGCTCTTCCGCAATTTGTTCCTACGCCTACTAAGTAGGTAGGTAGGTACTCGGTATAAGTGACTTGTACTCAACATTCAATAATATGTCTAATTTAAAGTTTTATTGTATTCCCTATTTAATTAGTACTATAATATATGTAGTACATAATATTATAAATAATATTAATTCAGTATTAGGTAAATTTAAAATTATTATTTTGTCCAAAACGCACAGTTATCCGTTTACACGTAGGTATAGGAGAAATGTGCAACTACTATGACTGCACAGTTTTTTTTCAGGCATCGCCTGAACTCACACAGTCCAAAATTTTGAACTGTACAGACGTACGATTTTCATTTACACATACATTTAGTTTGCGCAAACTTGAGTTCATGCAGTCCGTTTGCGCAGTTTAACTGAACGTGTAAAGTAAACCCGACTTTACAGAAACCCACTTGTAACCTACTGTACAACAGAGCGACATCCATGACTTACCCGCTTTTTTTTTTTCATTGAAAATTATGCTAAAATATATAATTTACAACATGTAAAATAACTACTCAAATGGCGAGGTACAGTAAAGAATCCATCACTGATTCGTGTTAAAATATGTATAAAATATTAACGAATTTTTCCTTTTTTTTCTCGAATTCGTATAATATTATTTATAATTTCTTTGTACGATGTTTACTAACAAAGTATTGACAGTTGGTACTACCTATGTTGCATTCTTATAACACGACGCATTTTCTCTTCACCCTTCCATTCTCACCAAAGGGGGACAAATTATCAGCAAAACAACATAGTGGCGGGCAGTTGATAATTTCTGGTAACAAGGAATGATAATTTGTTAAAAACAAATTCGATTGGAGTGCCACAGTTTGCAACACTGATCACGCGTAATTCGTACTAATCTATGGCACCTGTTGTCTGTTGTATTCAGGCATTCAGCTCATTGTATTTCGTTCACGTCGGCTGCTGCACCTGCCGTTGTGCCCAACCATCTTACTTGCCCGTTTCTTTGTTTACTAAGGATTTGCAACTCTCTCAGAATCGAACACGTTAGAATTTTTGCTCAAGTATTATTATCTGTTTTATTTATTTATTGCCTATATTACTTACGTACTGTTTAGAATATAATTATAATTATTATCGTTTGTTATTTCAGTATATAGATAATAGTTTGCGTTTCTTTGTCAACAGAAACGCCTGAACTGTAACTGAAATTGCGTGTGTGACGAATGCACCATTGAACACGGTATTTTGTTGCTTTTTGTCGACAATCTTAACCATGACTGAAAAATATAAGTCACTGGTGATTGGTGGCGAGACCGCTAACAGACATGGAGATGTCGGACATCAGTCGGAGGTCCCTGACAACGTGATGTTTCTATTCACTTCGGAATCCGTGGGCGAAGGGCATCCGGGTAAGTTTGATTTAAAACTGTTTTTCGAATGAATAATGCAAATGTATTTTTCATGTCATATGGTTTATTTGAGGTGCATAGGTGTGTCTACAGCTTTTTATCTCATGTGTTTTAATATTTTGATAATTTTCAAAATTTTTATTTTTATGACTGATTAATAAATTTTTTTTATAAATTTCCTAATATGTGCATCAGAAATTTTTGAATGTGGATCCTCTTTTCGAATCATGATAATTTTATTATAGTGTATGCAATTAGATTACCCCACTACTAGTTCAATAAATGTGCCACGATGAGTGTTATGTCCTTATTACTATTTTATGTATTAGTTTAAATACATTTTTGTAAAATAAATTCGATGTAACTAATTTAGAATAAAAACTTTAACTCTCCCAACCTATACTTTTACAATTCTTATAAACGTGATATATTAAAACAAATATGTACTATTTATTTATTACAATCTGCTGTAATGAAATTGTTCATATGTGACTTAGTCAATTGTATCAGACCTATTGAATAGAAAAAACAATAAAAGTAAAAAAAAATTGCTTAACCTCTAGTGTTTATGCACCATAACTCATGTAGTAGGTATACAAATTTATTTTGTTTAATATATATGTATTTTTAAGTAAAGACTATTACTATTTATTACTCATTTTAATTCTCTCTATGAAATTCAGTATATTTTACCTATATAATATGTATAAATATGTAGTTTTAATATTTATAGATGAAGTATAAGCTTGATTTTACATAGTTTGTTCATAAATATATGTACCTTAAGAGGACTTCACATTTGCATGAGTTGTCTTCGTCTTACTAGTGCGTAAATAGCAAATTTTATGTTCAGCAGATCACTTTTACCTCCATTAATTTAAAATTTAGAGTGAATTGATCTCTTATGACAATTAAAGGTTATTTTATTATCTAGAAAATCTCATAGGAGTCTTGTTATATTTTAATTTTAAAACGAGTTACGAGTATTTTAAAATTGTAAATTGTTTGTATATCTTAAAATACTCATTACTTACTTTAAAATTAAAATATGATAAAAAGCCTATAAGATGCTCTAAATAATAATCTTGCCTTTAATTTTCGGAATAGTTCAGTTCACCCTAAATGTTAAACCAATGGAGCTAAATATGATCTGCTGATCGAAAAATGTATTATGTTACGTGCTTGTAAGACAGAGAAAATGCCTTGTATAGCATTTAAGATTTAATATTAAGTAAGCAATCAAGTTCACAAAAAGTTATAATTTGTAAAGCATAATTAAAATGTCTACCACGTCCAGTGTGATATGTGTCTAGACTCACCACCTATCTATAAAATAACTGGGTTTAATTCATTATTTCTTTTTTTATGTTATATATTCATATTATTATGTGCTCCTAATTTATGTGACTATTATGATAACTTGTGTACTTATAATAAAATCAATGATTTTTAACATAGCTTATCAAATTGAAATTTTGTGTACTTAATTTTCTTTTTAGACAAAATGTGTGATCAAATCAGTGATGCTATTTTGGACGCACATCTTAAACAAGATCCTGATGCTAAAGTTGCTTGTGGTGAGTTTTATTTTATATCAATGTTGGCATTCATTTGTAGTACCACTTTTTTTATGACTGTAGATTTTTCATATTTTACTATATGTATTAAATTAGTGTACTTTTTAAAAATGTAGCGTTATGCCATACTTTAACCAATTAACCCAAACTTAAAAAAAGTGGAACTTCTTTAATATGATAAAAATAATTTTAAGAACTAATTATATACTGACACAATTATGTAATATGTATCATAAAATATACAGGATACATATTTAATATTTGTATACTATTATACATATTAGAGATATGAAGTCTTAAGTGACATAATTATGATAAATAATACTTAAATCTTCTGAATTTTTTGAACTTAGATGACAATATATTGTTTTCTAAAAAAAAAAACAAATGTGACCTTATGTATAAACATTAAAAAAAAAAATTGTGAAATTATCCATTAAAAATAATAGAATACCAACAAACATTGGATAAAGTGAATTTTGCAATTAATAACTACATAATGTTATGTGATATGACAATTTTGAAAAAATTCATTGTTTCCAATTTATTTTTACTGTAAACATGATACATTTAGATGAGAATTAACTACCTATACTTTTCAATTCAGTTTGCTGTTGGTTTTTACACATAGATCAATACTTTGATTTTGTCAAAAATATAAAATTTACTTTTTGGAAAGGAACCTTTTAATTTCAGTTCAAAGTTTTGCTAGAGATTATTTATATTATAATTACTTTAATATATTAAGTGTTAGGAAACTTACATAACATATTTAACATTTATCATGACAACAGAAAAAAAGACCATAAGTATTATAATTTATTGATTTTAAAAGCATGCCGTTATGTTTTACCTAAATATATATATTTTGAGTTGTTTTATTTTATATAAATATAATGTTATAGAAACTGTAACCAAAACCGGAATGGTTATATTATGTGGAGAAATAACATCTAAAGCTAAAGTTGATTATCAAAGAGTGGTTCGTGACACAATACAGCACATAGGTTATGATGATTCATCAAAAGGTAAATGCAACTTATTATGATAAACACTTTTAATAGAATAATAATTATTGTTTTATTATGTAAGAGTTATTATTATTTATTATTTATAAAAAAAATTAAATTTTTAATTATATTTTTGAATCTAATAATATTATTACTTTGTTGTCTTATTACACAACCATTGGGTTAACAGGTTTTGATTATAAGACATGCTCTGTAATGCTTGCTATTGATCAACAATCTCCAAATATTGCTTCTGGTGTACATATCAATAAATCTGATGAAGAGGTTGGTGCTGGAGATCAGGTATATTGTTATTCAAATAGAAACTAAATCTTAAAACATTTAAAAGAAATTATTTAAGTTATGACTAGGGCTCGGATGTTTATGAAATTGCATATTTTTTCTATTTATCCAATTTAATGCTAACCGAGGTACAACTTTAATTCATGTTCAATTAAGTCAAATAATACTATTTTTATCTTGCATATTTTTGCATATTTAATGGTTTTATATTTTGTTGCATATTTTGAGATTTATAAAAATAAAAATTCATTTAAAAAAAAAAAACAATTTAAACTAACAAACTATACAATTAATTCCACGATTTGTATATCTATATAAGCTTAATAAATGTTAACTACAAATTACTGYGCATTGACGTAAAATATAAATGTTTCATTGTGTTTGTTCTCGACTACGGTACTTTATKAGGTACCTAACGTATATAGCATTGATAGAATTTTGTATACAGTAACAACTGGACAACGTATTAGTATGACTTAAATTGTCGTGTCAGTCGAAACGTGTATTATATGTTAATTTTAAAAATGTATTTTAAATTGTATTAGAACAAAATAATTAATGAAAATAAAATATTTATGTTTTATGAATAATAATATTTTTTTGTGTTTTTATTGGCTAAAAATGTATATTTTATAATTTTTGACACATATTTTGATTTCATATTTTGTAATTTCTAGTGCATGTATATTACAGTAGTTTTAAGTGCATAAACATTCAAACCTTAGTTATGAAATAATATTCTATAATCTATATACACTAAATTATACTAAACATTTTATAATTTTTTAGGCTTGCTGTTTTTAACTACCTATTGATAATTGATTAAATGTTTCAGCAAAGTTATAAGTAAACCAATTGCATATAAAGTTACAACCCTAGATTACAAACATTTATAATATTCATGAGAATCCATGCACATGGAATTTTGGAATATGTATTGAAATAATAGTTTGCTATCGATAAAGTTTATTGGCCAGCATTTATTAGGAATTAAAAAATAATCCATAATTGTTACATAAAATTAATTTTTTTATAAATGTTAGTTATACGAGCTGATTATCATTTACACCATATTTTAAAAGGTATGAATTTTGAACATACCTATATTACTGACATCATATTGTATACAGTTGGGAATTATATTTAATTTAAGTTTGCTTAATTCACAAATTCCCAACCTGGAGGTAATTAGTCCCCAAGGTGTCAAATAGGATTTTTAAGGCATGAAAACCTTTTTTTTTATTTAATATAACTTATCCCTATTGTAATGATTATTATAATCATGACATTATACCCTTTAAATAATTTATATAGAATACTTTTGATTATCCGTGGTCCTCTATAGAATAAACAGTGTATATGTTTACTAACAGAAAATTTAATGTTATTTTACATAAATACATCATTACAACTTCATGAATTAGTCTATTTGGGTTATGATAACTGATAACCCGATAACATATGTATGTTATATGTACACCTGGCACACATGCAGTTATATACACGTAACATATTTTTCTAGGATTTCTTAAAAACTATATTAACATATATAGCTAGTCAATCAATAAAAATAAAACAATTTAAAAATATTATTGGAGTATTATTAGGTAAAACTGACCTATCCGCTGTAAGAATTGTATGGCCATAAATATGAAATTGGGTGGGCAAAAAAGTTGAGATTTTTTAATAAACTGTTTATTGGCAGTAAACCTATTTAATAATCCATATATTTAAAATATTTTAGGACTAAATATTGAGTATTTAAACTGTGTAAATATCAGTATGAACAGTTTGACATTAATTCTATGCAGTTTATATCATGTTAGTAAAGTAGTAGTAGTAATCATATCTATTGCATACAATTTATTATTTAATAACTATTATTAAAATAAAGATTAAATTAATGATACATTTACCTTAAATATATATGACCATATGTCAAATTATGTGCGGTATAAAAATGTTTTGCTTGTTAATTTGTATAAAAAAAATATAAATAACTTAGTATACTACTTTTCTTAATGCTACTAAAAGAAGCTATATTTATTTATACTGATATTATGTTTATATTGCTGTATAGTGTTTATTATTATAGTTTAGGATTCTAATTTACCAATTATCAGCTTAACTATGACTTATATGAACTGAGAATATGGATATAAATTTCATATAAGTATTTACTATTTATAACACAATACATGGTCATTATTTTTTATTATTATTAAATATTATAATTTTAATACATGATTGAAACAATGACTTGAGAAACCTCTGTGCCTCATTACTTTTCTTGCCGAATCTTGAGTATCCGGGTTCATGATTAGTAGCTTTTATATTATTATTAAAAGAGATCATGGTTGTGTGGAGGGAATAGTAATGTAGTGGGCAGTGATGGTTTCCCTTTGCCTTATGCATCATAGTAGTAACTCTTATTTCTAAGAGGTGCTGTTCAAGCATAGATAAGTCTATGCTTAATACAAACAACACTGCTGCCCATTGTTTGGTCTATTTTGGTCGCTTTTTACGACTGGCATGGTCAACCATAAGTGTATTATAACCCCCAACCGCAGGGGTATGATTGAAACAACATAAGATAATTGAAATTCACACATCAAAACTGTAGGGCTTATAATACATTATTGAACCACAGAGACCCCGCAACTAATCCTATTGTCTTTCCTCTTGCACCGTCCGTCTTTGGTGCTGACATCTTAGCAATAGTTAATAATTACATATTCATATTTTAAATTTAGGTATCAATAGTTTTTTTCGAACAAAGTATAGTGAATTTAATTTTTTTTTTATAATTTGTCTTTACAAATGATAACATTGTTTTTAAACTGTAGGGTCTTATGTTTGGCTATGCTACTGACGAAACTGAAGAATGTATGCCTTTAACTGTTATACTGGCTCATAAGCTTAATGAGAAAATAGCTGAACTCCGAAGAAATGGAGCACTTTGGTGGGCACGCCCTGACACAAAAACACAGGTGAATAAATAATGATACAAAATTATTAGAAAAAATACTATTAGAAGTTAATTGAATTAATTTTTTTTGTTCAATTTAAGAAGTTTATGTGTTATATTATTATATTTCCTAACTGTGTTTACAGCAATATTTATTTTTGATGCCAATAAAAAAATAAACTTAAAATTTAGTTCTTTATATATATTTTTTTTTAACTTCATTTTAATTAAATCTAAATTTCTGACCTATACATTGGTTTTCAATCACCCTGATCTTAGGTAAGGTGTAGGTCTTATATACATAGCTCTTCAAAATTAAGGCAAATAGTTAATTTACTAACACTTAGTTTAAAATTATTTAATTAATAAAAAAAAAAATGGACCAATATTTACATTGTACAATGCACTGTACTCTACCGAAACAACTCAAAGTGGACCGAGTCTTCAACTCATCGCATGTAATTGTACACTTAAAGTTACTACATTCTCTCGGTAAATAGAGTATTACATAAAATACAAATTAATGTCAATGCATACTGTAAATATTGATTTTATACATGTTTATAATTGTTTGTCTCTGGTTTCATTTAATGATTTAAATTTAATACATTTTATATAAACATTTTTAAATTGTAAAAGTTATTCATGCACTTTTATATTTTTATGTAACTTATTCATCATTGTAACTTGTTCAATGTACTTAGGTAACTTGTGAATACTATTTAGTTGGTGGTGCTTGTGTTCCACAACGAGTTCACACAGTTGTAATATCTGTGCAACATTCTGAAGAAATTACTCTGGAAGACATTAGACAAGAAGTTATGTTGAAAGTTATCAAGACAGTAATACCAGCACAGTATCTCGATGACAAAACAGTTTATCATATCAATCCCTGTGGTCAATTTGTTATGGGCGGTCCTCAAGTATAAACATTATTTAACAATAACATATTTTTATTAGACATTTATCTGTAATAATAATGACTGTATGAATTTTATGAATTGGTTTTTAGTCTGATGCTGGCTTGACAGGTAGAAAGATTATTGTTGATACTTATGGAGGTTGGGGAGCTCATGGAGGTGGTGCGTTTTCAGGCAAAGACTTTACTAAAGTTGATCGTTCAGCTGCTTATGCAGCGCGTTGGGTTGCCAAATCTCTAGTTAAATCTGGACTTTGTAAACGTTGTCTTGTGCAAGTATGATGTTAAAATGTTACATAAAAACTATAAAAGTTTTTATTTATATTATTTTGGAAATAGGTATCTTATGCTATTGGAGTAGCAGAACCGATATCAATCACACTTTTTCATTATGGCACATCTACTAAAACTCAAAAAGAATTGTTGGACATTGTGCGTAATAATTTTGATTTAAAACCAGGAAAAATTGTAAAGTAAGTAAAAATACAAATTGAGAAATGTAAAAGTGAATTATAATTATAAATAACATATTTTGACTTGTAAAAGATTTTACTGATGATGTAGATGTTAAATTTAAAACAAATGTTAATTATTAGTATCAAATACCAATTAGTATAATCATGATATTTTGTTACTTAATTACAACTTAAAACTCAATTTTAAATGGTATTTTGGGACTTTAAAAATTTAAAGAATTTAGATAAATTGTTAATTGATCATTATTATCAATAATAACACAATCGTTACACTGTCAATATTGTTCCTACTGGTTTATTTTGTCATTTTTATTAGTATTTTACATTATATTATGCAATATTTTAACATTATTAGCACTTGCCTTATTGTTTTTTTTTTCTTTATCATTAATTACTCAGTAAATATAGAATATTGAAATCAATACCAAAATAATTATTTTTTAATAGCTTATAAAAAACATATGTTTAAATTTTTTTCAACAAAATACATTTAAATACAATAGATTCTCATCAAATCAATTTCAAGGGGAACAAAAAAAAGTTCTAAACATCAAGTTTCCTAGTTGTTTATATATTCGCTTGCTTTTTCAATTAAAATTGTTCTATTTGTTGGAATGTTTTTATTTTAGCACTAAGGAAAACATTTTTATAAACTTTTACCAATAGCAAAMAAAGAGTCATCCTCATTTTAGATTCTGAGCGGAGCGATTCATTTTACCATGAAATGTGTTTTTATTTATTATTATTTTTTTTTTGTCTCATCACGTTTTCAGGCAGTAAAAGTGCTTCGATTTTTGACTTCAGTACCACATTCGATCAGAAAC